GTAATGTCCCGGATGCCACCCGGCGTGCTTGTCAGCGACGACGAGAAGGAGGAGGAGGAGGAGGAGGAGGAGGAGGAGGAGGAGGAGGCGGCCGGGCACCACCAGAAGGTATCTCCCTGTGTAACCCTCAACTCCCCTCCTTCCCTCACGCCCGTGCGCGCCCGAGTCATGAAAACCGGGGCGTACAAGACGCTGCCTCTTGCCTCGTCCGTGGACGAGGGAGCCGTGCTTTTGGTGGCGTGAGGCGTCTCGCGGGGGGTGTCGGGTACCCAAGCGCGGGAGCCGCCAAGCTTTCCTTCCCCCGGGCCCTGGCCCCCCTTGGGCATCGTCAAGCCTTGAAAAGGACCGTTCCGACGCTGCTGTGGGAGCGCCCGGGTCGAGTGCTGGTTCTCCACGCCCTCGTGCTGATCTTGCGATACTATGTGCTCGCCGTCCTGGAGGCACGAGTTAAGCCCTTCTTCTTCTTGCACCGAGGCGACCAGGAAGCCCAAGGCTTTACTTGGGGAGAGAGTTTTCCGCCGCGGAGGCCGTACCACAGCGGTGGACTGCCTCAAAAGACCTCCTGATGTGTCGCCCTCCATATTTCTGTCGATTGTGACGGCTTTCTTGACCTATATCGCTCCGAACGGATAGAGTGCAAAAAGGCACAGACGTCCGACCACGCTGCTGCAAGCCTTAGCACCTGCCGGGGAAAATGACGAGACAATGGACATCAGAATCGTACATGCGCATGCAAAACGTCTTTTTGCACAGACATACAAATTTGTGGTCGTGCCTTGCCATGTACAGGCATTTGTGGACACATTTTATGTGACCGGGGATTGACCTAAGGAGGAGAAGTGCTGCATAGCACATCACCGGAAAAACCGATGAAAACGACACCAACAATGGAGAAGCGAGGCGTGCACCAAGCTGAAAGGTTTCAAGGTAGTGATCCGCCACGCTTTTCGCGGGTGCACACGTGCTCGGGGAATGGAAAGGACGAAGATTTGGTGTATGTTATTTTTGTGGGGCCTGGCCAAGAGGAAAGAAAGAAAAAATTCGCTCGAACGGAGCTTGCGATACACTTAAGAGTCCCGGACTCTGGTTATGTCTTGCACAGTCAGGTACAGACCGCACACATGACCACGGAGCCTTCGGTGGTTAGGACCGCCATCGTAGGGTTGCATGTTTTATGAGTGGACGCCATAAAGGAAGAAGAAAAAAAAAATCGCTCGACTCGAGCGGGCAGTACCTAGCGATATTTATCCCCAAAGGCTCTGACCTTTGCCGATGTCTTCCCAGGAAGCCCCAGGCAATTCACTAGCTACCACGTAAGGCAGCAATAGTCGTGTTTCTTATCACCCTCGGGAAACTGAGTTCCGGTTATGATGTTGTTGTCCTGCGTTATCGAGGCTCAAGCTTTGGGTAGCTTAGTTCTGTTCGTACAGAGGACGTAGGTCACGTTCCTCCATGCATCAATGTACTGAATTCTCCGACTGTACGTTTCCATCACTGCCCCCACCACGTCCACAGGTGTCAGTAAGCTGGTAATGTCTTCCTGGCTATCTTTGGGGCGGCGGACGCCGGAAACCGGCGCTGAGGAGAAAAAGGTGGAAGGGTCCGGGGGGGGGCTCGAGGCTGGAGGGGGAGGCGAGAACCCCATAGACCCAGACGAGGTGCGACGTCGACGGTTGGAGCGTCTCCAAGCGGCGGCAGAAGCATCTCGGCTGGAAAAAGAGAAGGAAGAGGCCGAGACCGCG